TTATTACTAACCGCACCCCCAATTCAACAAGACCGTGACTGACTTTGTTTCAACCAGCTGGTACATTGTTCCTAATCCTATTCATTTGTTTCGACAACGTGCCTGAAAATATTCACACCTCTTTATTGTTCAGTAGTGTTAGGATGTCAAACCGCTTTTGTCTTGTGACAACTTTTGTCAATACTCCTTATGAATACGTCCGCTGTTATCACCGAAAAACTGTTAAATTCTTTTTCAATGCTCAGTTTATCCTTTCGAAAACAACTAATTTCTTGATTTAAAAAAAAGTCATGTCGTTTTCCCATGGAAATCAAAGCCAAAAGATCGCACTTCATTATCGGTAAATCGCTTCCGTGTTTCGTTTACCATGAAGTCGTTGACTTATCATTAACATATTTAAATGACCAAGGTAATTTGAACACTTGGGCACCATCCAGCATTTTTATTGGTTAATTAGCGACTTGACCTATCTGGTCAAGTAACGTCTTGTGTGCATTCAAACTACATGGCGGATGTCGTATCGCATTGATCGTTTACGTGGGACCAAAATAATTCGCTTACGGTGAAACTAGGTTGAATTTTACTTGCAATTGATAACAGTTCAACAAATTTATTTTTTCGTGCGTTATTATAATCACTACTGAGTAATAATCAACAATTTATTTATTCACTTGTTAGCCGAAGCATGGCCGGATTGCGTTATCGTACCCACGGTACCGTACTATTTTTAGTGCCGTACCATGATCATTTTCTACTAAGCAATGCATTAATGTTTGTTTTTATTTGAAACTCCTGTCAGAATATACTTTTCGTTACGAAGAACATTTGAAAAATAAATGCATATTACATTAAATATATTACATTAAATGACCACGCCTATTTAGTGATTGCAATACATGTATGTACGTAATAGAAAACCGCACCCCGAATTTGAGCTGTTGATCCCAATTTTTAATTGATACATTGTAATATAAACCGCGGTTTATAATAGGATTTCAACGGTATGACAAAGTCTTACAGTAACAGACAAACCATCAACAAGTGATGATAACAATCTAGATATATAGCAACTACAAAAATAAAACGGATAACCTTGATGTGAGCTATATTGTTTTCAGTGTTATTTTTGCAGATGCATAAGATACCATGGCATATAGATAGCACATTTATTTGTATATTTTATTTTTTGTTCAAATCGATTTCTAAAATAAAATATATTCAGTACAATTTGGTAATTTTTTGTGATTCACATCTAATTGAAGTACCCGGTTATCAGCTTATCAGCTATGCATCACATGTGATATTTGATTGATGTATAGTTTAACATCATTATAAATGGTAATACCTTGTAAGACCATAGAGTCATTGCATGCACTGATCCCAACTACTGATAGATCCATAGTAATATTTAGACATTTAGTAGAAGTCGCTGTCGTCACTCAGCGCACTCTTATAAAATTGACTAATTAACTAAATTAACTAAGCAGCTTCGGTTGTGCCTCTTTTTTTTCACATAGTATGATGGTTACTATTAGACTAGTCTATTGCCAAGCTATTTTAAAAGTGGATTTAGTGTCCAAACTGACTAAGCAGTACAAAAAGTAATTATTCTTGTCTGTTTTGATTGACAGCATGTTCAGCCCATCAAACAAGAGAAAAGAGTGAGGCGCAATTGATGACCTGTCAGCTTTTAGTCAGCTTGATGTTGGTTGTGAATAAATGCTTTATATACTAGTATTACAAGAACATATATAGAAACTTATATACTTGGATAACTCTTAAGCCATTTACATTATTGCTGACTAGTTAAATAATAGGAAGTGATGTCGTGTCCAATACTGTCCTGCCAAGACTTGAATAGTCTATCTTAGTGTACATTTCAATTTTAGCTCTATCAGTTGTATTCCGAATCTGAAATGTGCAAAGCATCAAAAATACAGTATTTCAAATTGGAAAGCCTGCATAAAATCTTTTTCAAATTGCTTGTGACTGCTCAAATTAGTGATAGAAATGAAACGTGTCTGTGAAAAGTCAGTATCGGTAATTTGCATAACTTTTGTGTGTACTGTAGAATGAGTTACCTAGAATTATAAAAACATGTTTTTGTGTTTTTTGTAAACAGATATTACTGTGTAAATACATATAACATTCTTCATCAATTTATGTGTTATTAAACAAGTCCTTCGAAAAGTGAAAGTACTTAAATGCCCTTAAATGTTTATTTAGTGAAATGTTTTGGTTTTTATTTGCATCATACTTATTTGAAAATTACATTTGCATTTTTCGAGTGTATTATCGGTTTTATTTCTGCCAAACTATCTTTATTAAGTTATTTAAACATATTGCTGTCTCAACAACCAGGAATTTACTGTATTTGCTCTATTAGAAGGGTATCTCTAATAAAAGTGCACATACATCAACAATTTTAATCATAAACAAGTCTTGTTTGTTTTTATACAAGCACATGCTCTTCTAATAGAGCAAGTGTGGTACTTGTGTTGAAATTTGTTAAACAATATTAAAGCATTGATTCTAATCAGTTTTGTCAATATGGTGGCATTATTTATTGAATTTAAATGTGACCCATTATTAAACAAAAAATAAGGCCTCGGCGAGAAAGTTCTGGTCAAATTGTTTTTTTTTTGAAAAACAAGTCACTGAGGTTATTTTTTTTTTAGCAAAATATTTGGTAGGTTTCATCAATTTGCTGTGCAGTAGCAAAATAAGTGAAAAAAAATCAGATCTTACTTTTTTGGTGATGTGCATGCTGACCAGAAATATGTAAATTCATTATTCAATATTGTCCCAGCAGCGTGCCCCCCCCCTTGATGCCAAATAAAGTTCAGTTTACAATATTAAGTGTGTCATAAATGACAGCTTTATCTGTTTTTTTTAGTAAAAATTAACTTGAACAGACTATTTAACTATTATTGGCTGTATATTTATCTGCTACATTTCACATCAGATTATCTCAGAGCATCTGTACATTGTATTTTGGATATACGTTTGATATTTTAATATATTTACAGCATTAAAAATATTGTATGAATTCAACAATACGCACATAGGAATGCTATTTGTGATATGGTTGTCCATATTAAATATAAATTAACAAGTATTTTTGTTATTCTGACAAAGTTAATAATTTGTCTTTCAGGATATTATTCCAACCTTGTTATAAAAAAAACTTACTACAAAGTACGCACATTAATTTGATTGGAACAAAAGTTGTTTGACTCGTTGCCAAACAATTTGTACCAAAACTTTGGCCAAGTTTTGTAGCTGAAAAATTGGCAAGCAAAATGCATATACTTTGATTTACCAATGAATACTACCAAATTTCTTATACTAGTTTTGATGCTGCTTATTGTGTATATGTGAAATATTTTATTACAGCATTCCCTGAAAGATTTCATTTGTTTCAAGAATTATTTCTTTTTCTTGTGGCTGATTCAAAGTTGTGTTTTTATTGAAACTATACAAATAAATTGTGTAAAGTTGAGTCAATGTTTTGATTTGAGTTTGTTTTGTTGCATGTAAAACTTTCTTTATAGGAGAGGACCTTATTTTCATCTTAATATATTTGTTGCTGAATATTAAGTTGAATTGTCTCTAATATTTTTTGGAAGTTTTTGACATGAGGTAATTTGGCATTTGGTACTGTGTGTTTGCTCTACTAGAAGTACATGATTTGGCAATTGAGAATATAGTACCGGATGTAAAAGTTGTAATAAATTAATATACCAGTAGTCATGAAAACTAAGTCTGGCATTGTGGTTGTTTGTGTAAACATGTCATCTTGATATTGAAACCCACAGACACTGAAATAAAGTATTATTTGAAGCCTTCCCTCTCAATGATAATTAATTACGCATTCTCACTGGCACTACCTTGGTTGTTTAACCCTTTCAGTTCAAATTAAACTTTTGATCTGCATATAGTTCAAGACCAGAAACAAATAGGAAATTAGGTTCATTTAATCCTAAAATAATTACTTTATCTTAGGCATGAATAGCATTTGACATCTAATTGCATCACTTATTTTTAACACATGTGAGAAATACATGATCCTCCACACACATACATGTCTCACTATCGTTGTGACGCCACACATTGGATTAACTTTTAATATAGTTGCGATATGAACTCAATTAAAATGCGTTCCTATATAGGGTTGCGCTTTAATTAAACTCAATTACAATGCAATACAACGTGGGTGTTCGTCCATGGATTTGGCGTTACTTGGATAGGAAGACATGAACCACACACACACACAGCCCCACTTCTATGTCATGTTTAATGCAGCATATCCAGACAACTGTTTATATTTGATTCATACCTCTATACACTTTAATGCCAGTTATCAGCTTAATCTCATCTTTGCTATATTGAATTAAATTTATTTATCACTGAATGCATTTGTGGCTGCATATATTTTTGATAAATGTATATAAACACTATT